TTCCCCTATGGGCCACACTCTTCTTGATACACCCCAGGATTCCATTGGCCTCCTTGGCAGCCATGGCACACTGCTGGCTCATGGTTAACCTGTCGTCCACCAGGACACCCAGGCCCCTCTCCGCAGAGCTGCTCTCCAGCAGGTCCACCCCAAGCCTGTACTGATGCATGGGGTTGTTCCTCCCCAGGTGCAGGACCCTGCATTTGCCTTTGTTGAACCTCATCAGGTTCCTCTCTGCCCAACTTAAAGTCAGTATGCATGTACATTAATTCTAGTCATTAAGAGTAACATGGCAGCAAACTGCTTGCTTACATGGTGCTCAATTCCCAGAGAAGAACCCTCCCCAAGTCAGAAACACTTCAAAACAGCAGTTTTCCGGTGGTCTTCATAATTCGTTACATAGCATTCAAACCTGATCGTTAAGTAACACACTTTTCTAGTGTTTCACACTTAGACTTTTTTCACTTGACATGCTGGTCTTCCAACAAAGGTTCTTAAGTCCTCAGGGAGGCTGAAAGAAATGATGCTACTTTACCAGACAATTTTCTATTAAATCAGGCAGAAGTCACCTGGTATGAAAGGCAAGATTTCAGTCCTCACATTGCCAACGCTGTTATCATATCAAAGCTACTTCCAATAACACCATAAACAAAGTAATTAACATCTGCCATATGCTGTTTTCTGCTTTACTTTGCCCACAACCAAGGCAAAACCTGCAGGTCAATTAAATATTAAAAAAAGAAATAAACTGAAAAATGCACAGATGGCAAAGGATTAAAGCAGATTGTTTCAAGCATTCCTTTTAGAGATCGCTAATGCTTTAAGAGGTCTTACATTTTATAATATATTCTGCTGGAAGTGGGTATGCTTGAGCAGAGGACAGGTTTGACCATGGTCTCACAGATTTTATTTGTTACAAATTCCCCTGGTACATTCAAGTCCTAAAAAAACATAAGATAGAGGAAGTGTCCTACTTCTATACATTGTATATCAGAAAAGGTGGATTATTTTGTAAACACCAAAAAGATTCAACAGATTAAACTACAAATGCAACACAGGGTGTATATTTCTTTTTAACCCTTCTTTTTAAACATTTCAGGAAGGAAAGGCATTTTAAATGTTTGCAGATAGGTTAAGACAACATTTCATTAAGCATAGTCTTAAAGTCAACTCTAAATAGCTTCATTTATTTATTCATTAATTTTTTTCATTTTTTAAAAACCTGTGTCTTTCCAAAGCTCTCTTCTTACAAGTCAGTTCAAGTGATAGTTATTTCAGCCACTTTTCTTTTCAATAACCATTTCCAGAAATAATTCACATTAGTAGCCGATGGTTTCATTTACCAACCCCAGTACACTGAAAGAAGCATCAAGAATCACAACTATTAACTACCTTAGTGACTTGTCAGTTAATGACTAGAAAAAAATAATTGAGTCATTGCTACACAATTACATTCAAAAGCCTTAAGAAAGTCACAAAATCTCACTCCAATGTGTTTCATTACCTTTGATGTCCTTAAATAGCACAACACAGAAACCTTCTCATTTTAATTACAAATAGAAAAGCCATGCTAATTAAACCTATGATCTGTTATTCAATGATAGCTAGCAGTAAGGAGTTGACATTCTTTTGTTATTTTAAAGTAAAAAGGTAATCTTTTAGAATTTTTTAGTGCTATACAATATTGTAAGGTTATGCTTTTATTTAAAACATTTTTCCTTATAAAAAAAAAAGATCAGTAGCAGCAGAGTTAAACTATTATATGGAGATGTAAAAAACAGTGACGATTCACATTATGAAGTTTTAAGGGCCTAGATGTAATTTCCAGTCAAGGCAGTGGATGTTTTTCCTTTAAGGGAGTTGGAGTCAATAATTCTCTCTTTCCTAAGAATATTTTTGTCTATTTTCAGTTATGCAAAAACATATGCGCATGATCAATTTTCAGAAACTTTTCTAAACCATTTATCGCTACAAATTCACATCAGTAGAACACTGCAGAAACTAAATTCAGGACAACCTCTCTCATGTAACCCTGTCTTTTCCATGGCAAAACATGCAGTCCACAGAAGCCTCTCCTGCACAACTCACAAGTATCAGAGAATTTTTTTTTCAACTTTCATTGATTATTTAAGTGACTTTCAAGGCAAAACTGGAAAAAAAAGAATCCTCAGATTCTCCAAAAACCTTGTCTTTATTCAGTAACTTTAACGTCCTTGTTTAAAAGGACATCAAAAAGTACTGGTTTCTTCAGAAGGTGTCATTGCTCATTTGTATCCTAAAAAACGCTTCTACTGCCCACCATGAATTGCCAGTACACTGAACTGAACTTCATTTGCTAATTGCTATACATACTATGGCAACACTTCAGAAGTATCCTCCTCATCTGTAAGTCAGACGAGCAGCAGCCAAACTGTATAAAACAATTTCATGGCCAGGTTATCTTCTCCCACCAGGCAGTCATTCCCCACTTGAGAAAAATCGAGGAACATAAAATGAGTTAATTACCCTTCATGGCCCAGTCTTTCACATGATATGTCTGACTAGCATTATTCCAGCATGACTACCAGCTTTTTACAGGTAATCTTAGCAGACAAGAAAAGTTTTGTTATGTTGAGAAACCACATACAGATACAGAACCTTGTATGGCAAGAAAGTCCTATATTTGAGAGTTAACTTTGATAAAGAAATAAGACATCCTCTGAAGATGTATTCCTTATTGCCTCTCCCAGTAACAATCCTGGCAGCCAGTCTAAGACTGCTCTAAGATGCCTTTTCTGAACCCTTCCCCTACCTCCCCTCAACACCTTTAAGATGCATAACATACATTTTTAAAATAAGAGAACGAAGATCATTATCAGATAAGTAAACTTCTGCCTCCTGTGTGGAACAGACCTTTTCTGCACATAACCGCTACAATGTTTCCAATCAAATAAGTGACACAACTAAAGGAACTTCTTAAATACAGTTCCCAGAGCTACAATAACTGACGAACTGATGAAACTGTTATTATCAAATGATAACTGAAGGTTGTTTTCACTAAGTACAGTAAGTTATTGCATTGGCTGGAAAGCTTAAGAATTATTTAAGATCTTCCAGGGTCAAAGGAATATATGTTCCATACAGAAAAGAGAACTTGGCCACATTTTCTTTCTCTTTGAAGAGAACTTTTGCAAAATGCTTACTTACATTCCTTAGTAATAGCTTTTTTCTTCTGATAATGTAATTCAGTCTGATGAAACAAGGTTTTCTTGTTGTATAATTTACTCCTTTGCTTATCCAATCAATTTGTAATAGATGCAATAGTCATTTTAAAAAGGCTAATATCTGTATCAGTTACCTCCCCTGCTTTTTTTTTAATCTTCCTTTATAACTGACTTATCTTTATCTTTTTCAAAACTGCTTTTTCTTCTCTGTTTCTATTTAATAAAGCACAATACAAAGCAAAAGAAATTGATTAGGACCATAATCCTATCCTTCACAAATACAAGTAGCTTTAAACATATATGCAGTCCGGTCCTACTAGTTACTTGTATGATTGTCATGTAAAGACTGGTATGTGCTTGTAAGCCTAGTCTAATAAGCATGCAGCACTATATCTGATTGGTAGCAGGGGCCTGCTACCAAAGACCAGTCTACACACCACCCCAGGAAACTACTAATAGATCACTGCCTTTATTTATCCAGCATGCAACTACTTTAAACTGTTTCACTTGCAGGCAGGTGTATTCAGTTTCACCTCCCTCCTACAACAGCAGTGCTACTGGCAAAATATTATGTCACAGAATTGTAGGATATTTGTTGATATTAATAGTTTTAAATGACCTTACACCTTTTTTTAAGATCAGTCACTAGGTGACAAAGACTACACTAAATGTAGAATTAATGTTGTTTTCCCTTTTAAAGATTTAGAAAGATGAGAATTATGTTGCAATCAGAAGGGTAAAAGAAAAGTATTAAATGTCAGCCTTACCTATTAAATATAAGGACCTTATCTACGTATTCTATACTAATTGCCATAAAGAATGAGAGAGGATTTTTTAATAATCCACGACACTGTGCGTTTGGTTAGATTTATTTTCAGTTGACTGCAGTACAAAAGCATATTGAGCTAGAAAAAGTAAACTAGATTCCAAATACAACCTTGGTGGTTAGTACAAGAAGATGTCCAAGGGGTTAAAGAATACGACAAAATCCTAAACACACCAACAAACCCCTAATAAGTTCTGCAAAGCATGAACAAACAATGATTTGGCAGTCTGGGAGATGTGGTTTCACTAGAAAGTCCAGAGTTACATTTATGATACCCAAACCATTCATCTGCCAAATTTCAAACCATACTTCCAAACCAAGGAGTTGTTAGTATTGTTGAAAGAAAGACCGGCAGCATTCATGTATATACACAGAATATTTTAAGTTTGGCACTTTTTTCACATGAGTTTATTATCAAAGCAATTGAATCATTAAAAATTAAGTACAGAATTTCAGTGTAAATTTCTTAAGGAAAGTTAAAAGGAATTGCAAGTACAGTTTGTAGTGGAAGATATTAAGTAACACTAACTGCATGTACTTCTCTGAGTTTTGACCCCAGAAAATGCAATTTCCTGTTTGAAACAAAGTGTTTCAAGGAATAACTGTTCTTTTTGGATACCTTCACATGGAATCTTCGACTAAGAATAAAGCAATAAATTATCTGAAAATGTAAGTGACGAAATCCAGTATTTCCAGCACTGCAGAGAGGCTGCTGAGAAGTTTCTCCGTAACACTGACTTTCAAATCTCTAAAACTGACATTAGCAAGAACAGGATGCCCCCTCCCCCCAATACATACACAGTCTGAACGCATAGGAAGCCTTTTTTTTGCATCTTACCTCAAAGCTTTCTGATCAAAATACATAAAAAGTTCCTTTCCCAATGTCTCCACACCCCTGTAAACATGCCCAACGAGGAAATCATGAGCAGAGGTTCTCTCTTCACTTGCAGCAGTCTGAAAATGAGTACATACACACGATTAAAATGGAATTTATATGACTTTGATTCTAGCATCAGTACACATTCAGCAAGTAGCTGTATGAACTCATTTTGCAACTTGGACAATATTAAACTCTTTTTCCTTAAGGAGCTCTATCAAAACCAGTAAGACTATTAATTTGGGAAGCAGAGAGTCACTATTGCTACTACTATTCGTAACTTAGCTCATTCTTTTCCAAACTGAAAAAATACATCTTTTTTATCAGCGTATTTTATGCCTTTCCTTCAAGTCATGAATTCATAGTAAGTTTCAGGCTGATGTAAACTAAACAGGTATAGTTGGAATATTAAGTAGTTGTCAGAGTGTCATTTCTGCCATTTGCAGACCTACATCCTTCTCCAACTGCCTCTTGCTGGAGTTTCTATCCAAGCCGATAATACGCTTTCAGTGTTTCACACAGGGCATTGTGTATTACAGAAAAGCCTCCACTGAGCCCAGAGATATTTCTCTCTTCCTACTAGCTGAAAGTCTAATCTCAGAAGATGTTGAGCAGCAGGTGGGACACTACTAGAGGACAAGAAAAAGATAATTGTGAGACTGAAGCAATAACCTTTTCTTGCTTAGCACATGCAACTCCACTGAAATTACAAAAGGGACCTCTGCAGGTTGTCTAGTCCAAACACCTGCTCAAAGCAGGACTGACTGAGATCAGGCAGCCCAGCGCCTTGTCCAGTCAACCCCACAGTAACTCCAGGGATGGAGACCCTCGTCTCTCTTGGCCCTTGTTCCAGGGCTTCACTAGTGTTGTGATGGAAAGATTTTCCTAACACCTTATCAGAATTTCTCCTGTTGTCAGTTGCATGTGCTGCCTTTCATCCTACCATGCACCTCTGACAGGAGTCTACCTCTGTCTCCTCCATGCCTTCCTTACAGGTAGCTGAAGAGAGCAATAAAATTCCAGTTCTATCAGCTTCTCCTTGTGCATCATGTGCTTCAGCCTGCTAACCACACCAGGGGACTCACTCTAGTATGTTATTATCTTTTTCCTACTGGGGAGTCGAAAACCGGACACAGTAATCCCGATGCAGCCTTGCAAGTGCTGCACAGAGGTGAGAACCACTCTCCCCAGCCTGCTGGCTACGCTGTTGTTAGCACAGCTCAGTATGGGGCTGACCCTCTTCCTTGGAAGGGTACAGTAGTGACTCGGACTTAGCTGGTATAGGACCCTAGGTCCCTTTTTTCTCTAGAGCCATTTTCCATCCACCCAGCAGCCAGGCCTGTGCCATTGCGTGACATTATTCTGCTCCAAGGGCAAGACTCTGAAAATCCTGTCAATGCTGAAGTTAAATTTCTGCCAGCCTATTTTTCTCAGCCTGTCAAGGCCCCCCCTGACCAGCACCTTAAGCTACCCAGAACCTGCTGAAACCTGCAAGATGTTCGCTGTCATCAGAGCCCTAACTGCAGGGCACAGATATGTGTACCAGTGCTTCAACCACAACACTTCGTCGCAAACCACATACACATTAAAGAGACTCTGGCGAATCAGCAAGGCTTCGGCTAGTTAGGGAAATTTCAGAGCTACTCTATACACAGTCTCCCACTGTATTATTACCTTGAAATAATATATTTACCAGGTTTTATGGTTATTATTCTGTCAAGTTGAAAAATAATATTTTTTTTGCATAACATCAACATAATTTACTTTGCCTATTATCAAAATATGAAGAAAGCAAAATTTTGCTCTCACTTAAACAGTTCATCCCTTCCAATAAAAGTATTAAAATAAGCTGGTGTGCAACAAGGTTTATTTTAGTTTTAAGCCACTCAGATTTGTTTAAACTAAACCAGAGTAAGAAGTGATCAAGATGGAAAAATAACTTGTTTTTTTTCAAAATATTTTTAGTTAAATCCACACCACTTTGGTATCAGGTGAGCCCTTACAGTCATTGTGGCATGAACTCTCTCAAACAGTGTAGTCTTCAGCAGCGGCCAAGGCTTTGGCCATGGTTAGCAGCCACTGTGAGATCTAAAAAGCCCAAGACCCTTATGACGGTCATTTGCCAATGAAGAGAGTCTGCCCCGAGGTGATTTTTACTGTACAAAGTTATGAACATCAATATATTTGAGGGAAATTTTTTTTTAACCCAGAGCATAAATCCTTACTTTAAAAAGCTCAGTCCTGAAAGACACAAACCTATAAAGACTGATCTGTGGACTGCCTATCTTAGGCAGACATATCTTGAACCACATTCTTCCTTAAATTGTTCTTTCATTGAAGTACTGCCTTATGGAGCCTTAATCAAAAACTCTCTTACAGTGCCTTTTTTACACTGAAGGTGGTGAAAAATTCCCCAACTTTCTGTCTGGGGGCATCCAATATACTTACTTAGGACACAAGCAAAGCACCATTTCTCACAGCTGAGCAAAACCAGGCATGGAAAAAACCCTTGCCCCCTCTAACCAAACCCGGAGGGCCATGCCTTCACAGCCCGGCAGCTAGCCCTGCTGACCGACACCCCGGCTTCCCCTCCGGCCGGGAGGCCGCTCGCGCCCCGGCAGAGGTGCAGACAGGGCAATTGCTTTATGCTGCCAGCAGAAACGATAAAAACGAGTAGAAAAATTACATACTGTGCACACTTAGAGCAGATGCCGCATTCTCTATTTATTTAAATAGTTAGTGTAATTAAAAAAAATTTTACAGAAAAGTTATAGAATTAAAAGCTTTTTTCCTGCAGGCCAGAGCGCAGCTTCCTCTCATCATGTTTCATTCAGACTCGTGACAACTTAGGAGACTAAGAAAAAATGAAAATTAGGAACCACTACTGTAATTTTCCTTGTATCGTAGGTTTCCTGAAGCTAAATGATATTTTAAAGTTGAAACTGAGTGAGCAAGAGCGATTCTAAAAACTTCCCCTCATCATTTCCAAAACCTCCCCACATTTCTGCACCTCCAGCACCTCTTCACACCCCCGACCTGCTAAGGCCGACCTATTAGGTTGGTGACAAGATTGCTTGGTAATTTAAAGGAAGAGTAAAGCCACTATCCACAGACGCCACGGCAGCCGCGGCGCAGGGGCTCGG